GTAGAAAGTGAAGAGGAACTAAAGAGCCTCTTGATGCGGGTGAAGGAGGAGAGTGCAAAAGTTGGCTTGAAACTCAACAGTAAGAAAACTAAGATCATAGCATCTGGTCCTCTCACTTCCTGGCAATAGGTGGGGAAGAAATGGAGGTAGTGACAGATTTTATTTTCCTGGGCTCCAAGATCACCGCAGATGGGGACTGCAGCCAAGAATATAAAGATGCTTGCTCCTGGGGAGGAAAGCTATGGCAAATCTAGACAGCATACTAAAAAGCAGAGACATCACCCTGCCAACGAAAGTGTGTATAGTCAAGGCTATGGTTTTCCCAGTTGCAATGTTTGGCTGTGAAAGCTGAACCATAAGGAAGGCTGAGCGCCAAAGGATTGAGGCCTTTGAATTGTGGTGCTGGAGGAGACTCCTGTGGATCCCTTGGACCGCAAGGCAATCAAACCGGTCAGTCCTAGAGGAGATCAACCCTGATTGCTCTTTAGAAGGCCAGATACTGAAGATGAAACTCAAATACTTTGGCCACCTAATGAGAAGGAAGGACTCCCTGGAGAAGAGCCTAATGCTGGAAACAGATGGCAAAAGAAGAAGGGGACAGCAGAGGATGAGGTGGCTAGATGGAGTCACTGAAGCAGTTGGTATGAGCTTGAGTGGACTCCGGGGGATGGTGGAGGACAGGAAGGCCTGGAGGAATGTTGTCCATGGGGTTGCGATGGGTCAGACATGACTTCGCAACTAACAGCAACACATGTATAGTTTGAGCTCTCCATTGTGTTAGAATTAGACATGGAGCTTGTCTTACTATGGATATATTATCCTATATCACTTTTGTTTAGGAACTATGGCAATTGGGGGGCTGAAGCAGTTTTCACATTTCAGACATCTCTTTCTTTTAACAGCTCAGATGTCTTAATGTAACCCCATCTACCTGGTTTTCTGTGAGCTTTCTGTATGTATTTATTACATGTATATACTGTACCTAGTACTGTACCCACATGGGACTCTCTGGGTGGTGAATTAGTATTATTATTGATTTGATGGAAAAGATTATTTTGTGCACAGGATTTGTCTACCGGATTTTCAGTTAAACAGTTGATAAAAGTATCAAGGGAAGACAGGAGAATAAATTATGCAAGGAATTAAGGGTCACAGAGGAAGACGAAAAGGATTTTTTCCAGCATTATGACCTTATTCTATATTGCAGCATTATAGAATGATGATACTGCAATACTGTCTGCTTATTCTGATTTTTATTATTTCAGAATTTGGTGTTCACTTGGCAGAATTGACTGTAGATCCCCAAGGAGCACTGGCCATTCGTCAGGTCAGTCTTTTCCAAATGTAATAAAATGTGCTAAAAGTATTTACTGAATATTTGGCGGTAAGACCTAGAGGATGACACCTGAGGATTACCTTATTAATCTGCTTGGGCATACTGGGGAAATAATTTATCCTTCTAGTATATGGGTCCTAAGTTCTGAAAGTCTTTAAAGGTCAGCACCATTACCCTGAATTGCTCCTTGAAGTGGATCAGGAGCCAGTGCAGCTGTTTAAGGACTGGTGAGTTATGTTCCTAAAGCCTAATCTTAATTATTCTAGCATAGGGTGGGCTGCCCCATTAAGTGGAATGAAGCTATTTCCTCAGGTAGAGGAACAGAAGTGGTGAATTACTCATTCTTTGCCCAAGCCATGGGGACCTGCTACTGCCTTGCTCTCTCCCTTTGTTGCTACTGCCAGTGTCATGTCTCAGTACTGGCAATCTCCAGACACCCCTTCTCCATGATGCTGAGCTCTAAGGAAGAACTGCTCAGAGCCAGAGATTTGGGTATGGCCACCTCTCTGAAAAGCTGCATTTAGGAGCTCAACTGCCTGGCAGAGCAGGCAGCAGTGGCAGTGTGATAGGTGGAGGGGAGACCGGGTGAGGGAAAGATACAGACCAGCTGGGTGGGCAGGTGGGGAGGAGACAGGTGCCAGGCAAGGAAGGAATGACCGTCATTGGCGATGCATGTGTTTTCACCTCAAGCAGTGGAAATAAGTTTGCACTGGCACTGGTCTAGCAACTGTGTTGTGAACTAAGTGCATACTCTTCAAAGTCAGCCCCATGCGCAAATATTACAATATTCTTACTTGGAGGTTACCACAGCATAAATAACTGAGGCAAAGCAGCCTGTCTAAAAGACATCACAGTTCACATATCATACAACGCTCATGGAAGGCACCTGGTGACACAGAAAGTGCTTGAGCCTCCATTTATTTATTTTTTCTATATTTTTATGCTGGTGAACAGCTGAAGCCAACAGTTTAAAACATAATATACAATATAACAATTTAAATAGTTAAGACTGATGTATAAAATAAAAATGAGAACTAGAGTAAGACCTAGCAGCAATACAAAGATTTAAAATATTATACAGAAATTAAAATAAACCAGAACTAAAATCGATGTAGGTGTCAGGTGCTGGAGTGCCAAAACAGAAAGGCCATCTTCCTATTAGCCACCAACCTGACTTCCCTTGACATTGGTTCCTTCAGAATGACCACCCTAAACTGTGAACTGATCACTCATTGAGAGAGCAATCTAATTTGATATAGATTGAGAGCCACCACCTAGGAAGAACCATCTATCAATTGCACATTTTGCTTGTCTGGATTGAGTTTCAGTTCACTGGCCCTCAACCAGTCTATTACCAAGCCCACATATTGGTTGAGTCTTTTTGCCCCTCACTGGAATTAGATGAAAAGGAGAAATGGGATTGACATCATGTCACTGCAGATTACAAGATGTACTCATTCAGCTGTTTTATGTAGATGTTAGAAGACATGGGGGGAGTAAGAAAAGGGCAAGATCATTCCTTGCAAAACTATAACAGAAACACCATGAAACTTACAAGTCGTCCTTCAGCACCACCTTCTGGAATCTGCTGTCTAGGTAGGAGAAGAACCACTGTAAAGCAGTGCCTCCATTCCTCAACTTGGACAGTTTACTAATAAAGGTAATGTAGTCAATTATATTCCAAAATAATTAACAGCTTTGCCCTCCCCCATCCTTCTCCTGGCATAGGTCATCTGTCAGGGTTACCAGGGCACAGTTAATGCTAAAACCAGTCCCAAATCTTCCTTGAACTGCACAAGGTAGTATTTTAAATTAAAACAATGTACAATAAAGCTTGATTGAAATCTTGATTGTTTTTCTGATCTAAGAGATTCTGACATTGCATGGCAACCACCTTCTTGAACACCTTGCTCCAAAAGGGATTATTAGCTATGTTGAAGGACAGGAGATAGTATAAACTAAGCTAATGTGAAAATGCTCCAGATTTCCTGGCATAATCCTTGTGGCTTGTGATAATCATCATAAAATATATGGCATGAATGAATAAACCAATTTTGCAGTTTTACATATTTTAATTATGATTCAGGTAATAATATGCACAAGGGTAGTGGAACAGACTTAAGTATACAATTAAATCTCTCTCATTGGGGAAAAAAGTGTTTCTTAGAGTGAGTGCTTTGTGCCAATGCAAAGGTGTGTGACTGCCTGAAATGTTGCCATCTGCAGTCCTTATAGTGGAGATATGGTCACTCTTGTCTGAGATTAAGGTTGTGCAGTGAAGAATTAAATAAAATAAACTTTTTGAACAAAGTATTATGCAAGACAGTATAATGTGTTTATATACAGTATATCATAGAAGTGAGTACACCCCTCACATTTTGTAAATATTTTATTATATCTCTTCATGTGACAACCCTGAAGAAATGACACTTTGCTACAACGTAAAGTAGTGAGTATACAGCTTGTATAACAGTGTAGATTTGCTGTCCCCTCAAAATAACTCAACACACAGCCATTAATGTCTAAACTGCTGGCAACAAAAGTGAATACACCGCTAAGTGAAACTGTCCAAATTGGGCATTATTAGCCATTTTCCCTCCCTGGTGTCATGTGACTCGTTAGTGTTACAAGGTCTCAGGTGTGAATGGGGAGCAGGTGTGTTAAATTTGGTGTTATTGCTCTCACTCTCTCATACTGGTCACTGGAAGTTCAACATGGCACCTCATGGCAAAGAACCCTCTGAGGAACTGAAAAAAAGAATTGTTGCTCTACATAAAGATGGCCTAGGCTATAAGAAGATTGCCAAGACCATGAAACTCTGCAGACCCTGAAGCTGCAGCAGGGTGGCCAAGACTATACAGCGGTTTAACAGGGCACATTCCCCTCAGAACATGCCTTGCCATGGTCGACCGAAGAAGTTGAGTGCACGTGCTCAACGTCATATCCAGAGGTTGGCTTTGGGATATAGACGTATGAGTGCTGCCAGCATTGCTGCAGAGGTTGAAGGGGTGGTGGGTCAGCCTGTCAGTGCTCAGACCATACGCCGCACACTGCATCAAATTGGTCTGCAGGGATGTCGTCCCAGAAGGAAGCTTCTTCTCAAGATGATGCACAAGAAAGCCCGCAAACAGTTTGCTGAAGACAAGCAGACTAATGACATGGATTAGTGGAACCATGTCCTGTGGTCTGATGAGACCAAGATAAACTTATTTGGTTCAGATGGTGTCAAGCATGCATGGCGACAACCAGGTGAGGAGTACAAAGACAAGTGTGTCTTGCCTACAGTCAAGCGTGGTGGTGGGAGTGTCATTGGTCTGGGGCTGCATGAGTGCTGCCGGCACTGGGGAGCTACAGTTCATCGAGGAAACCATGAATGCCAACATGTACTGTGACATACTGAAACAGAGCATGATCCCCTCCCTTCAGAAACTGGGCCGCAGGGCAGTATTCCAACATGATAACGACCCCAAGCACACCTCCAAGACGACCATTGCCTAGCTAAAGAGACTGAGGGTAAAGGTGATGGACTGGCCAAGCATGTCTCCAGATCTAAACCCTATTGAGCATCTGTGGGGCATCCTGAAACAGAAGGTGGAGTGCAAGGTCACTAACATCCACCAGATCTGTGATGTCGTCATGGAGGAGTGGAAGAAGACTCCAGTGGCGGCCTGTGAAGCTCTGGTGAACTCCATGCCCAAGAGGGTTAAGGCAGTGCTGGAAAATAATGGTGGCCACACAAATATTGACACTTTGGGCCCAATTTGGACAGTTTCACTTAGGGGTGTGTTCACTTTTGTTGCCAGTGTTTAGACATTGATGGCTGTGTTGAGTTATTTTGAGGGGACAGCAAATCTACACTGTTATACAAGCTGTATACTCACTACTTTATATTGTAGCAAAGTGTCATTTCTTCAGGGTTGTCACATGAAGAGATATAATAAAATATTTACAAAATGTGAGGGGTGTACTTACTTCTGTGATATACTGTAAAGCAGACCTGGGCATTGTACGGCCCGCGGGCCACATCTGGCACGATGGCTGACCCTGACTGGCCTGCATGAGGTCACTGGCAAATTAAAAGTCAATGCAAATATATATCGTCATAATATAGATACAAGCAATACAAGTGCACTGTATTTATTTTGAAGGATCTGCTAAATTGAATTGAATTTATTGCTTTTATGTAATGTTAATGTTTTTGTGAATATTCATTAAATAATGTTGTTCTGTGCTCCACATTTTCATTGTATCATTGTAATGTTTCATTTACTGTTTTTATAGAGATATATATTGAGCAGAACTGTAAGTGTATTGGTCCGGCCCTTAACAACTGTCAAAGTTTCTCATGTGGCCCCATAGGAAAATTAATTGCCCACCCCTGCTGTAAAGTGATTTTCAATCTGGCTTGTTGATTCTGTGTACCTGTTTTTATTTTTCCTGTGGCAAGAGCACAAAAAAATCTTAGTTGTCTTTGCAACTATGAGCTTGGGTATATCCTTGCTAAAATGTCTGTTGTCATACCAGAGAAACAACTTCTAAATGAATCTTGAGAATTTTTTCCTGTTCTGTGAGCCAGCTTTGAGATAACGGTACTGAAACTAATCCTGTACCTTAATATCTTGTTCTGTTTCATTTTCCTTGTTTTTCCCCTACAGCTGGCATCTGTAATTTTGAAACAATATGTTGAAACACACTGGTGTTCCCAGTCAGAGAAGTTTAGACCTCCTGAGACTACAGAAAGGGTAATGCTTATTTCAATAGTCACATTTTGTCCAATTAAGAAAAAAGCTGCATTTTTTGCTTTCCATTTTATTCATTTTATGTATTCATTCATTCTATATACCATTAGTTACATGCAATAAGAAGCCTTTTCTTTAGGACGCATTTTTGCTAGATTTTTACTGGTATATAATTAGGAATATCACAGCATCTGCAGATGCTATCTTGTACATATAATGGATATTCCTTGTGTTGTGAGTAGGTCTTTCCCTCCCTCTTTTTCCAGTCCAGCAGATTCAGATGCTACTTTAGAAACACTATCCTTTTGTTAAAGCTTAACAGAAACATCTGTCCATGTAAAGAGTTAAATCCAAAATAAAACTTCCCCTCCTCCTTTCCCTTTCCAAAAAGTTGCTGGCTCCACCTTCAGGATGGCTTCTGCTGTTTGAGGGCTAAACAGTGGGAAACCTTGATTCTACCATGTGGCTTCACAAAATGTTTAGAAATGATCTGAAATCAAAAAAGGACATTTATAGGAAATGGAAGGAAGGCCAGGCTACAAAAGAAGAATACAGGCAGGTAGCACAGAATTGCAGGGATGGCATCAGGAAGGCTACAGCTAGAAATGAACTGAGGTGTTTTCAGATATGGCCAAAGAAAAATACAGGCAGGAAAGACATATGGGGGTGGGGAAAGTCAACTACTCATTGTGGATGACAAAATAATAACAGATGACAAAAGTGAGGAGTGCTCAATTCCTACTTTGGCTCAGTCTTCTCCCATAAGAAGGCTCATGACCTTCCTGATGGGGGAAGTACAAGCTGAAGGAACAGGATTGAAGTTCAGGATTGGTAGGCAGATAGTCAAGCCTCATCTAATTGGGTTGAATTAGTGCATATCTCCAGAGCCCAGTGAATTCCACCCTATAATCATAAAGTAGCTGGCAGAAGAACTCTCAGAACTACTGTCTATTATCTTTGAGAAATCATGAATGATAGGGGAAGTGTCAGATGCCTGGAGAAAAGCTAATGTCCCTGTCTTGAAGAAAGACAAAAAAGAAGATCCTGGGAATTACAGACCAGTCAGTCTGACATCAATCCTGGGAAAATTCTGGAGTAGATTATACAGTAGTCAATCATCTTGAAAACAAAATAATGATTAGTAGAAGCCAACATGAATTCCTCAAGAACAAATCCTGCCAAACTAATCTGATTCCATTTTTGATTGGATATCCTCCCTGATGGACTGTGAGAATGCTGTGAACATAATCCGTCTTGACTACAGCAGAACTTTGGACAAAATGCCCCACAACATCCTGATTAGCACACTGGCTAAAAGTGGGGTACATGGAACAGCTATCTTGCAGATCCAAAGTTGGTTACAGAATCACACTCAAAGAGTGTTTATCAGTGGCACCTTCTCAGACTGGGGAGAGCTAATGAGGTACTGCAGAGTTTAGTCCTGAGCCCATCGCTCTTCAACATCTTTATCAATGATTTGGATGAGGAAGTTCAGGGATCAGTTATCACATTTGCAGATGACACAAAACTGGGTGGAATAGCTAATTCCCTAGAAGACAGAAATAAGATTCAAGGTGATCTTGAGAGGCTGGAGTGCTGAGCTGAAAACAGAATAAAATTCAATAGGGGCAAATGCCAAGTTCTACATCTAGGGAAAAGAAACCAGATGCATCATTACAAAATAAGGAATACTTGGCTCAGCAATACTGCATGTGAGCAGGATCTTGGAATTGGTGTAGATCACAAGCTGAATATGAGTCAGCAATGTAATGTGGCATCAAAAAGGGCAAATGTTATTTTACACTGCATTAATAGAAGTATCACTTCCAAATCATGTGAAGTACTCATTCCCCTTTACTCAGCACTGGTTAGATCCATCTGGAGTACTGCATCCAGTTCTGGGCTCTACAGTTTAAGAAAGATGCAGGCAGCTGGAAAGCACTCAGAGGAGGGCAACAAGGATGATCCAGGGAACCAAGGTCTTTGAAGAAAGATTGAAAGAACTAGGCATGTTTAGCCTGAGAAGAGAAGACTGAGGAAAGATATGATAGCACTCTACACATACTCCAGTTCTCCCACATTGGAGGCATTCAATGGAGGCATTCAAGAAGCAGATGGACAGCCATCTGGTTTAACTGGGAGTCCTGCACTGAGCAAGAGGTTCGACCCAATGTCCTTCTGACTCCTTCCAACTCTCCTATTGGTCCAAATTTTCCACATGTTTTCAGACTGGGTCAAGGAACGTGTCTCCCCCCAGAACTTGTCTGGTTCTGAAATGTCTCCCTCCTCTTTCAAACTGGGCTGTTTTTCATGTCCTGTCTAAGAATCTTCACTAGGTAACCTTGAAACTGCAAAGTCATCTGTCCAACTCTGCCCCTCCACCTCTTCCTCAGAACTGGATGAATCTATCTGAGCAGACTGTAATGTGTGAGAGCTAGACTCCCCTTTCTTCACGTTGCTAAGCTCTTCTCTTTTTTCCTCCACAGGCAAAAGCTGCCATTAGAGAACTGCTTCCCAATGGGCTGAGAGAATCAATTAGTAAAGTGCGTTCAAGTGTTGCCTATGCAGTTTCAGCAATCGCACACTGGGATTGGCCTGAAGCTTGGCCTGCACTTTTCAATCTTTTAATGGAAATGCTGGTCAGTGGAGATCTGAATGCAGTGCATGGAGCTATGCGAGTGCTTACAGGTATGTCCATATTGCATGGACTTAAGTGGGGAGCGGGCTTCTGTTATCCTGATCTGGGCTTTCTAAACATTATAATATGTGGATATTCTTAAAAGTCCCTACTCTTTCTGCCTTTAGAAATTATACAGTTCATACTGAAGTTTCCAAAATAGAAATGGGTTTAAAACACACACAAACTATTCCTCCTCCTATGAGTTGGAAGCTGCGCAGAGGTAGAAAAATGAATGAAACTGTCCATTACGATAAATTTTCAGCTGATAATTCACTAACCTGGTTTCCATGATACAATAACCCTTAAAGCATGGGTCCTCAAACTACGGCCTGGGGGACAGATCTGGCCTGCCGTGCCCATTTATCCAGCGCACGCGCTTGCCACCACCTCACCACGCAGGAGATGGTTTTGAACTCATTGGGAGATCTCTGAGCGAGCAAGCCACCACCGCGCGCATTCAGCGCTGCCTCACCAGCCCACGTGCCCAGGCACTGCCACCTCACCGGCCCACACCAGTTGACGCCGCCTTTCAACTGGCCCCCTATTGAAAAAGTTTGAGAACCCCGTGCCTTAAAGAGTCCAAGACTTTTTTAGGGTCGCTTGATAGTTGTCTATCAAGTGATACCTGCCAGCTAAGTTCACACAGCACCCACAGGTATCTCAAGCAATGCAGCCATCACCACGGGTAAATAAACCCATGGTGGGTTATTGTATCATATGAATAGGCTGAATTTAGCCACAGATTTAGCCACTACTACATGTGTTTAGTAGGGATATCTAGTTTGATGATACATGTATTCAGAAATCAAAACTAATAACAGAACTGCATCTTGTTCAGAAGTTGTAATTTAATAACTTCAACTTTTTAAATCTTTCCATCTGCCTCAACTTTTTAAATCTTTCCATCTGCAGTATATTTCTCTGAAACTACACTGAATTGTCACTTCTTTCACCCTTCAGAATGAAAGAGATGGTGTTTTCTTTTAAAATTACTGTTATTTATTACATTGCATTTATATCCTGCTGCCTTCTTCTTCTTTGAGGAACCCAGGGCAGCTTATGTAGTTCTCCACTATGTTTTATTCTCACAACCACCACCTTGTGAGCGAGGTGGGTTAGATTGAGAGTGCGTAACTGAACCAAAGTCACTCAGTGAGCTTAATTATTAACCCAGATCTCCCAGTTTCCCAGTCCAGTACTTTAACTACTACACTGGTAGAAGCAGTATATGCTGCTAATAATCCAAGATGATAGACAACCAGTGATGACTGTGTTGAGAGAATCCTCTATTATAGATCTGGGGAGTTACATACAAAATTTGTCAACATCTATAGGTCTGTCAAGCCTCAACCAGATATGACTTGCATGAGGTGGACAAGGTTCAAAGCACTTTATATTAAATGAGAAAATCTAATATTTTATTCTTTATTTTTAGAATGAGTATAGACCTAGTTTGTTTATTTGTTTATTTCAAATGCTTTTATACTGTTCATAAGGTGATCAGCTCTCTGAAACCATTTACAATAAATTAAAACTACAAAAACCTATAATCCCAACCAAGAATAAATAAATAAATAAAAACACAATGTTTAAAATATAACCCCAACATTTAAAATATAACCCCAACAATAAACCCAACCAGACCCTCATAACCCATAACAAGCATCCACAACAAATCAAGCCAGGGACAAGTAGTGCTTATTGAGGTGATAAAACTTTGACTGGTTAGATGTTGATGAAAAGGTTGGCCCAACAATTTTCAGTTGGCAATCTAATCTTCCATGTTGAAGTAATGTTTTTGTATGACAGGCCCTTGGATAATAAGAAACAACAGTGTGAAGCAGTTTATCTCTATACACAATTTACCACCTCTGTGAGAATCAGACTTCTAATTCATGCACTCTTAAGGGGAGATTTAATTCTTCTCTTCCTTGCCCATTTCTGAATCTGTGTACCATTAGAATGGATAAGCAGTTTCTAAGGAAAATGCTACCCCTGAGTAATCTCTGCAGTAGTACACTTTATGTAAAGATACTGTTATCTTGCTGTTTCCTAGAATTCACTCGGGAGGTGACAGACACACAGATGCCCCTTGTTGCTCCAGTTATTTTACCAGAGATGTATAAGATTTTTACAATGGCAGAGGTATGGGTGAAAATAGTTGCTTTCCTTTTGTAGGAATATCATAGATTCTGCATTTATTAAGTATCATGTTTATGTTTATTGTAAAGCGTCTGCAGTTAATACACATTTCCTCCAGTTTTTTTTTTTTTAAGTTTGAGTGTCAGGAGAAAAAAGTTAAAATATGAGGAGTGTGGAGAAAATGATCTTCTAAGCTAGTACGGCCTACAACTCTTATGATTCCTCACCATTGGTTATGCAAGCTGGGAATTGTACATAAACCTATCTGGAGGGCTACAAGTTGCCCACCCTTGCTGTAGACATGCTGCTGGCCTTTTTGCTCTGCTACAAGGAGTGAACGTCCCTCTATGTGGTCACTTCTAAATTGTACAGGAAAAAAAAGCTACCATTTAGATATTGGCTTTCTATGTATATGCCTCAGTAATGTGGAAAAATACATCATTGGTGATTTCAAGGACTATCTCCACACTCCACTGGTAACTCTGAGCAGATACTGTTATCCAAGATATGTGGACACTTAGTTGCAAAGGAAAAAATAAAATGGACATTGGCTGTCCAATATCATATGGACAGCACATCCAATAAAAATGCAGTATTGAAAATGAACTTTTAATAGAGGAAAAATAAAACAATTTAGCATCAGTTATGTACAATAAATTTTATAGCAGACATTGAGAATCCCGATTTTAGAATCACAAATCATCAGTCATTCAAAAGGTCTAGGTGAATAATAGGGTCCTCAACTGATGCCAGAAATGTCATAAATTAATATTGTTGGTGGTGGCAGCTGATAGCATGCTGACATTACCAGCTTTTAAAATATTTTTAACTATTGGTTTCTCTTCTCTTAGGTATATGGTATTCGTACAAGGTCACGAGCTGTAGAAATCTTCACCACTTGTGCCCATATGATCTGTAATATGGAAGAATTGGAAAAGGTAAACAGTTTTTTTCTTGTTCCTGGGTTGTGATTATTTCTTTTACCCAAGTGTTCATCTGTTCATTTATTAACTGTCTGAAGTCTCATAGATAAAATGTCTAATGGATCATACCACAGAACAAAATGCCTGAACTTGAGTTGCTTATGCCCAAATCTTCTGCTCTATATTCTGTAACATATTAGCCTTTACTCTGTGAAATGTGCTTTTTATAGATAGAAATATGTTTGTTCAGTAACTTGAGAAAGACTTAAACTAAAGCACTGGCATTTTATATTCTTTTTAAGTGTCATCATCAAGAAATGTTGCATTTGGTTATAATGTGTAGCAAAGGGACACAGTAAACAATCCCCAGGAAGGTCTGCTACAGTGCTGGCCTTGTCCTCTGATTATTCAGTTTGCGTGAAATAGCCTGTAGGATTCTGACTAAAATATGGTGACATCATGGAAAGATGTTTGAAGGTGGAATACTAAGATAATGGGTGGGTAACCTACCCTGGCAAAAGTTCATGGTGGGTTAGTTGTTGCCCAGACAACCAAAGTGGATATGAGGTATAGTTGGGCTCACTATAGGTTGTTCTTTTCCTCCTTTTCCCCCAGTCCTCCAGTCAGTATCCCAGGGGAGCTGGCAACTGAAGCCTCTACCCTACTCCTCTACCTACAAGTGGTTTTTTTAAACTTACCATGACTTTTCTTCCTTTATCCTTTTTTGTTTTCCAGAGTTCACAACCACAGTCCCTGGTTGGCCGATTCTTAAAAAAATACACAAACACAATTTTTAAAAATCATTATTTTAGTGAGACTTGTACAACTGCAGAAGTGCACAGTCCAATGGATCTGAAAATAGGAAGCCTTACCTGGGCAGTGTGTTCGGGCTATCTGCTGTCAAAGTGCAGCTGTTACCAATCCTACACATTGATCTAGAGAGAGACTAAATGGATTTTTTTAAATTTTGCTTTGACATGACAGGTGTCAAAGGACAATCTGTCATTTTAAAGGAAAGCTGGAAGTGGTCTTGCTCACAAAAACAAGCAAATGCCTTTTCCCCCTTCACAGAATGATACTCAGGGGTTTCTGTGTGCCCTCATAGGTCCCAGTGCCCCCAACTTTTCCATCTATTTCTGTGATTTGAGATTATCCAGAAGGTTGAAAAGTGTTCATTTTTTGCTGACACTTGCTTCTGACAGCTGCCTGACTTCAGGCTTTCTTTGAAACAAGGATTTAGGCAGGGTAAAGCAGGATAGTTTTGATCCTGGTTATTCCACTGGCAGAGTACACTTCTTACAAAGTGAAAGAAAATGGCTAGAATTTAATTTGAATCATCTGGAAACTATTGGTTTATTTTTGAATGTATGGTTTGTCTCCAAAGTGAGGCTCTGCTTTGGGAATTAATAATGGTAGAGGTCAAGTTTAGTCTGGTACTTCGTTGCATAATTACAGGCATCCAGATTTTATTTGGCACAAAAGTTAATAAATCCACTCCAAATTTGTTAGCGTTGTATCAGACTTTTGAGAATTCTTGCCAAATTTATAAAACCAGTTTCAAGTGTCAAGTAAATCACACTTAGTGGTTATGTGTATCTTTAAAGTTCATGTCATTTGTAACTACCTAGATCTTTTTACAGAACAGGCATAATAGTGGAATTAATAGGTATGCAGTCACATAGTGATTTTCTTCCTATTAATGATAAACACTTTACAGGTTACTCTGACTAAAAAATAAAGATTGCTTTTTATTATTTTGGTAGGGAGCAGCTAAAGTTCTGATTTTCCCAGTGGTGCAGCAGTTTACTGAAGCCTTTATTCAGGCTTTACAAATGCCTGATGGCCCTACATCAGATAGTGGACTTAAAATGGAAGTTTTAAAGGTAAATATATACATTACAAAACAAAATATAGGTACAAAACTTTTCATTTGAAGTTTTGATGTAGTAGGTGGTTGATAAAAATTGGGTTCTTAAGCACTATATTTCCTGCAGGATATATGATATTTTGATAGTAGTGTTCTTTTCATAAAGTAACATGAGACAGTTTATCTGCCAAATAAATTTGGTATCACTAATGATAGCATACAGATATAATTGATTGGTTACACACGAAATAAAAATGGCAACCCAAGAGATTTTCTTACATATTTATGTATTATATTTATACCTGGCCTTTTTCCTACTAGTAACCCTGGGGGCTTACATAATCTTCCCCCTCCTTTCCACTGTATTTTCACAAGAGCCCTATGATGTAGGTTAAGCTGACAGTCAGTGAGCTTCATGGCTGAGTAGAACCCAGATCACTCAAGTCCCAGTCTGCACTTCAGCCACTATGCCGCTGTGGCTCTCTTGCATAATCCTGTTACATAGTATTAAACTACTTCTCTTGGGATCAAAAGTGGGTATTCCATTCATGAATGGTACTACTGAAGTGGTGCAGAAACTTTGTTACCAATTATCCCAGGATAATGTACAATACATTTTCCCAGAATGAGGTTGGGGGCTCTGTGCCATCCTTCAGAAATGTCAGATTCTATGAACTATACCTTTTTCATATGTTCACAATACATTTCCAGAATCATTATCAGTGCTTCCTCATGTGACAGCTGCTACCTCTTAATAACATAATCTGTAGATGGTTATTCATTTGCAATTGTCTGTGTTTAGTTATATGTCTGTGTCTATATACTGGTTAGTATATCAGGCAAGAAGGAAGAATTTTATACAAAAAGAAAGTGAATGTAGCAGTGCTTAAATGAAACATGATCAATTTTGGAACTGAAAATCTGTTAATAATTCTTAATATGTTTTTCCCCCACTAGGCAGTGACAGCCTTAGTGAAGAACTACCCAAGGCATATGATTTCCTCCATGCAACAGATACTTCCCATTGTTTGGAATACACTTACAGAAAGTGCAGCCTTATACCCTTTTTGTCTAGTATTGAAATAAGATTAACTTTCTTAAAAATGAAATGCTAAAATGGTGGGGGTGGAGAATAAGTAGTAGTGTACATTCTAACTTGCACCAAACATTTCAGAAAAATGAGACTATTTACTGACTCTCAATAAGTTTTGAAAGGTCCTGTGAAGGTGTTCCTTTGTACATGATTTTCCTTTTTTTTTTTTTTTTTTTGCAATCAGTCTCTTTCACTTCTGAGAATGTAGTTTTTCAATGGAATGGTTGCTGTCATTTGGGGGTGCACACACTGGTTTTGATCCAGTACTCATGTGACTGGAAGTCCACTTGTGCAACAAGACTTGTACTTACATGATGAGAATTTCCCATCCTTTTTTCTCCCTGCAGCCAAATGCATGCCCCAGTGGGTTGTTGGTTACCATCCAGCACATGTTGGATGGTGTGCAGCAAGAAAAAAGGTTCTGCCAGGAGTTCCTTCCTTCCTGCAGAACAGTACAACTGGGTAAAAGCAAAGGTCTTTCAGTCCCAGCATATATGTTCCCTAATAATTTTAGAATTGGCAAGTTTATGACAAAAGCATAACAATGGGTGGGTTAACTTTTTTGGCTTGTTATTTTTATTTAAGTTGTAAAATGTGTAAATCAGGAATAGCCCAAATTTCCAGTGCAATTTGCATATCAAATGTTTTATAGGACTTCAGGGCCCTTAACCTTAAGAAAAAGCATAGAGCAAATGTGACAATATCTCATTGAACCCAACAGTACAAAGTCTTCAGGCACAGATATTCAGACATTTGTTTAAAAAGAAAAACGTTCTCTGTCAAGTTGCCAACAACAGTTACCAGAAAGAGTCAATGTCCTCCTCATACTTTGTACTGCTGATCTAGAAGGGGCTATTTGAAAGACACTGAAAACACATTTAACTATCTCTGTAATATGCAGTCGGACTGGAGATAACTATGATCACTGACCAGTATTTTTAATAATAGTAACAGTATGGTAGTGATTGGCTGTTGAGTGGAGAGAGCTTTTCAGTTTTAAAGTTGTAACTTGGGGGTTTTTTCCTAATAAATTAAAGGGTTGGCATTCCTCTCCCAGATGTTATTCTGATAATATCACTGCAAATGTTTTGAGTTTAAATGAAAATCAGTCTTGTAGTACCTTGATTGAATCAATTTTTCCTCAACTTCTTCATACTTATGTGAGAACAGAAGTAAATTACACAGAAGAAGTAGAAGATCCTGTGGATTCTGATGGTAGGAAACTCATTGCTAAGGGTCTGATTGAAAAATTTAAAGGCAGCTGTGAGAAGACACGTAGCCCTCTATAGAAAAGAGAAGTTATTCTTAGAAGCATGTTGAGAATATTATAGGATTAAAATGTTGCTTCTTGGCTTGGGAAGTCTTACGAGTGGAGGTGGGAGAATCAAGAAATGAGTGACTTTAAAACCAACAGTTTTAAATAGGATTTCTTTTTATATGACAATAATCTCCATTGTAATTTTAAAATTAATTTTAACATAGTAAGAAAAGTTACTTCTGTATGTGAAAAGTGTTATAGAATGTGAACTTATGAAAAATATAGAATTGCCATGTAATGAAGTAATTATTTAAAGATGTTAATAATATTTGTTAGATTTTTCACATTATAAACCAGATCTAACTTTTTTCCTAATTTAGGTGAAGTCTTGGGTTTTGAAAATCTAGTATTCAGCATATTTGAGTTTGTTCATGCACTTTTGGATAACAACAAATTTAAGAGCACAGTGAAGAAAGCTTTGCCAGAACTAATATATTATATCATTCTGTATATGCAGATCACAGAGGAGCAGGTAAGCATCTTTTCTGTATTATGTAGGAAAAACACATTTTAAACTAATTTGATACAAGCTTTAAAGCTACTAGAAATTAGTGGGTGAGTAGTAGTTCCCATCATGAACCTGATCAGCCAGACTGTGCCAAATTGCAGAATATTGGTATCAAAATTAACATTTCTCTAGAAGAACTGCTTATCGTAATATGAGTGATAAGGGGGAAAAGTTTGTCAGTACCCGAATCCTATCAAATAAATTATTAAAATTTGAGGAGTATTTAGCATTTATTTCATCTGCATTACTGTTAGTGTCAAGCCTTACAACAATACAAGAAGCCACAGCATATGTTGAGTGTGGATTATATTTGACCATGGTTTGTCAAGTACAAACAAACTACAAAGAGGTTAGTTATTGGGTCATGAACGATGGATTGTTTGTGATTAACAAACCATTGTTTGTGCTGCTGGATTCACAGAACAGTCTACTATTCAACAACCCATGGTTCAGTGACAACCCATATTCAACCATACTCTGTCTTGTCATTTTGTATAAACCAGTGTAGTTCAGGGCTTGGGAAGTGGTGGTTCTTCAGATGTTTTGGCCTACAGCTCCCATCTGCTCTAGTCATTGGTGATAGATGATAGGAGTTGTTGGTCCAAACATCTGACCAGCATTTCTCAATGCTGTTCCAAGAACAAAAGGTAGTATTTTCATTCCATGAATTAAGAACTGAAGCAGATATTTTGATGAAAGGATTGGTGGTGAAAACTAAATTCTGATGCATTATATCTTAGCATATTATTTATGTAATTCTTTTGAAGTGTCTTGCCTTTTGCATTCAGATAAACACTTTTTAAAGTGATTGGTTTGCACAACATTGACAACCCATTATGGGAAACTTACCATAGTGGGTTGTCATATTGTGCAAAGGTGAACCACTATTTGCAGAATGGCTTATTTGTGAGCAACAAGCCACCTGGATACCACCTGGCTTGCTTGGAGAGAATGTCATCTCATCCGAAATTGGGTGAATGACCCGTGATGAGTCGAGCAAAATGGCAAACAAGCTGCTCAGCAAGACCCTCTTGCTTCTCTGGCTAGTCTTGCCCAAGCAACTGCCAGTGACAGCCACTCCACTGAATACACCAGCAGCACTTTGGAGGAACTGTTGCTGGGTTATTCTTCCCTCTTGCAATTGTGAACCCTTTTCACTTGCTATGGATGTTTCCCCCTGATGAATACAAGATATAATGACTTATTTGCAGGCTGTCTTTGTTGGTGTCCATGTTGCAAACTCACCACAGTTCAACAACAGACATGTACCAGGATATTGCCCAAACTTGCCTTCCCATTTTGGCCATTCAGAACTGTGTAGTCCAGAAAACCAGTGAAAGCCATTTTTAAAACTTTACAAAATATTTGTGTACATACAGTTGTGGAGGGATTTTTTTAAAGAAAAGGTGGTAAACCACTGGCAGCATCTCTAGTTTGCTACTTGGGCACTTTGTGGGGAGGGGGGCAAAAGGTGATCTCCAACAAAAGGGCGGCTGTGGTGACCTCATGATTGTGATGGGGCAAGGAGACAATATGGCATCCATCTCCAAGTCCCCTGAGATACCTCTTGGAGGACTGAGGGAGCCAGTGCACATTCAGCCTAATCGTTGGGCAGACTATAGGTTGTTCCATGAACAAACCACACTGTGTAACTTATTTGCAAGATGGGTGGCCATTCATGTGAGCTCACCAGCAAACATACTCTAGGAAACAAACATTGAAATCTTTCTGTATCTGGAGGTTGATACAGTTATGTGTAGTCTGAAATAGGGAAACAGTTTCTTGTAAATTACTGTATTGTACTGTGATTTTTTTTCAGATTAAAGTCTGGACTGCAAACCCACAACAGTTTGTTGAGGATGAAGATGATGATACATTTTCTTACACTGTTAGAATTGCTGCACAAGACTTATTGCTGGTAGGAGAGAATAGGCAGCATGGTGAAAGATCTAAACCGAAGATGGAGAACTTGTTGCCTTTCAGAAGTTGTTGGACCGTAACTGACATCATCCCTGTCCATTTTGGCAGGGGCTATTGAAAGTTAAGCAAAATCTGAAAGGCCACAGGTTCCTCACCTCTGATCTAAACAGCAAATGGTGGTCTTTCAAATGCATCTGTTGTATACATTTTGAGCTTCAAATGCTTGGGACTTGGATATAGTATAAGTTATATAATAAAGTTATACTATTTGGACTAGTCACTTTGAGCCATAGGTATAGGTTTTGGTCTTAGGATAAATAGATCAGAGAGCAATTAATGCCAGGGCTTAAAAGGTGACCATGATAGTAATGGAGGAGAGAGAGGCTGTGCTGTAGAGCAATAGTTCTATTTTTATGTATCGTATTTTATTAGCAAAAAAGCTTCTTTTGCTAGAGGACAGAGGAAGAAATTATGGGCCACCTAGTCTGAACCCTGGCACAAGCTGGTTCTGCTCATATAATGTCCAAATTCAGACAATTCAGTGCCAGGCAGTATGTTTGATTCTTTTTTGTCCCCGTCCTTAGCACATGGTTGTGTTATCTTTGGATACTTTACTGAGTTGACCATCTATCTGTTTCAATCTGAAATAAAGAATGAAGACCAAAGACATTCTAATTAGCATTTCGACCAGATTCTTTGTGCTCTGAGGCCATGCACTGTAACTTCTAGCATGGTTATTCTCAAGGTATAGTGATTTAAAAAGTCCCCTTTGTCTTGCCTACAAAATGTTACCTATTGTCAAACTTCTGTTTAGGCTGTAGCAGCTGATTTCCAGAATGAAAGTGCAACAGCTTTGGCTGCAGCTGCTACAAGACACTTGCAGGAAGCTGAACAAGCTAAAAACAGTGGTGCTGAGCATTGGTAAGAATGTTTTTATGTTAAGCATCAGAATCTCCCTCTGTGACTTATACAAAGTTACAGTTGTGATCTTATAAGAGAAGCTTTATCCAGCAGCTTAGAGGAAGAAGGAAGATGCGCAGCATTCTGTGATGCCCCAGGTGCTGTCTAATACTTACGGGATTTCACTCTAAAGCAATCAGTAGAAAAGTATATCAGTAGTGTATTCATATACTAACCTTACTACTAAATATTAGTCTCATTTAAAATGCTGTTTATACCAGGCCTATTTGGCTTAATTTTTTCTGTTGCCACCTCAGGTGAATCAGCTTTTTATTCAGTAAACTGCATCTGAAGCAAATTGCATCTCAAAGTAATTAGAATAAGATATCATAGGTATAGCATTTTGTAAAAATTCTCTCCAAATTCTGTTTAAAGTATATGATAGGCAGTCTTTAGAAATATGTACTTTTTGTAATATTAATTGTAACAAAACTACTTTTATCATTCTAATAAAACTTTTAACCCTAATCCTAGAAGTAAATTAGAAAAATAGATATTGGAAAACTCAAGGCATTTATTTTTTTGCAGGTGGAAGATACATGAAGCCTGCATGCTGGCTTTAGGTTCAGTCAAATTTTTGATTACAGACAGTGTGAAGAATGGCAGAATACACTTTGACATGCATGGATTTCTAACAAATGTTGTTCTTGCAGACCTCAATCTGTCAGGTATTTCATCATTTCATTGCTGTTTGATGCCTAGGAAATAAAGAGTAGAAATTGAAGAGCCTTCCTAAACTTTTGTGTGATAGGAGAAATCAATTGAGACAATGTGTTGTTATGCAAAGAGATATATGAGAAAGGTTCTTTAGATGTGAATTCTTTTACCTTTCCATTTACATGCAGGATGAGACTGAGTTACTGGTCTCTAATCTTCAAGTCTATTTAAAATTATAATAATTGTAATGTAAGAATTTCAACGAAGCAGAGGCAGTGGCTCCTGTTTCCACTTGACCTCCTTATCTTTCCAAATAAAAACTGTTGTTAGTCTTTCAAAAGCACATATTTTCTGTGCTCTCCTCCTGCCCCATCACTGGAAATGGGGTGGATACGTGTTTCCAAAGATTTTGGCTGCCTTTCAGCCTTGTACCAGAATGGCACTGGATCCCAGCCCCTGTGCAGTGTTCACCAAAAGAAGAGATGTTAAGGTAGTTGCTTGGTTTTATTTGCTTTGGATACGTCCATGCAAACAGTCTAAGCATTATTAATGAGCTATGTTTTTTATCCACTGTATCCCTGTATATAGCTGTTCTCAATAATATGCAGAACCCTGCTGTATATAATACTACTGAAGATGGAACACAACAGCACTAACATTAACATTTTTTTTTCTTCCAGCATCTCCATTTTTGCTTGGCCGTGCTCTTTGGGCTGCTAGTCGCTTCACAGTTGCAATGTCTCCAGAGCTCATCCAGCAGTTCCTTCAAGCCACAGTCAGTGGTCTTCATGAAACCCAACCCCCTTCTGTGAGAATTTCTGCAGTAAGGGCTATTTGGGGGTATGTAGATCAGAAAATAAGTCTCATTGGATTTGATTTCTAGGCTAAAGTTTCTAGAAAAGCTTTAAAATTCAAATTTATGACAGGAGAAGTACTGAACCTGTAATCATGCATTGATGATTGTGAGAAAGAATACATGCAGTTACTATATTACTGACTTGTTGATGTTTTCTGAATTTTTCATTTAGCTACTGTGACCAACTGAAGATCTCTGAAAGCACCCATGTCTTACAGCCTTTCCTTCCCAGTATCCTCGATGGACTAATCCATTTAGCAGCTCAATTTAGTTCAGAGGTCCTCAATCTTGTGATGGAAACACTTTGCATTGTCTGCACAGTAGATCCAGACTTTACAGCGAGTGTAGAGAACAAGATTTGTCCATTCACCATTGCAATCTTTCTCAAGTACAGTAATGGTATGTTCCTAGACACTAGATCTTACTGATAAATTACAGATAGCTTCAAATGTTGTGTTCAGTTAAAACCATATATATACATGTACATACATACATCTCAAAAAGTTTTTGTTTTCTTTTAGAGTATTATGCAGGTGTAGACTTTCTCTGTGTCTGTTTATGAAAGACAACAGTGAAACCCATCTTGATTGGTAATATCCAGCAAGAAATGTATAGGCTTATACCCTTGGTAGGAGCATAACAAATCTGCAAATGACTTTACGCCGGTTTTCTCAATCTGAATGTGCTTCAGAAATTTTGAGGTGCTAATGGTTGGAATCTTTACCTCTTTTATACCCAGTTCTGGTAGCACCCTTCTTTTGTGTTTAAATAACAACTGTCAGCTAATTAGCAAGGAACAAATGTAGAGTTTATGTATAGTTAAATGCCATCCTTGTGCAGCAAGTGCAGTATTTTTTACTTTAATGTTTTACTTATCTCTGGGTATTTATTTATTTAGAATATTTTTATTCCATCCTATACAATCCATTTGTGTCAAAAGTCTTTTCTGCAGCTAGGTTTACATGTTGCTATACATCATAATAAAGACAAATCCTGAGTGTAAACATAGGCTTTCTACTACTTGCTCCAAATGTGTAAGCTTTATGACATGAGGACAATTCAGATCATCTAATGCAAATGCTAGAAATTGTATGATTTTTTTTGTGCTCACATAGTATTGTGCTCTAAGAAAACCATTGAGGGAGGGTGGAGGTCTGTTCTGGCTGTGCAAGAAGCATGGAAGCATACTTCAGAAGTCCTGAGTTTCTTATAATGAGTGCATTTACCCCCCTATGTGCAACACCTGAAGCAGGAGGTGCTGTGTCTTTTCTTCATGACATTTAATGATTTGAAATAAACTCTTCCATACATAGGCAGAATGGAGAACTCCGCTAGCTAGCAACATTTAAAGTAAATATACTGCATTTTCATATTGTAATAGTGTTATTTTTATCTAGATATTTCTTAGTCACTGGTGTTTCTCTTTTTTCAGATCCTGTTGTTGCTTCACTTGCCCAAGACATCTTTAAGGAACTAGCACAAATAGAGGCCTGTCAGGATGCAATGCAGATGAGATTAATTCCAACTCTTGTCAGTATCATGCAAGCTCCTGCTGATAAGATTCCAACAGGGCTTTGTGCAGTAAGTAGGAAGACACCTTGTCAAGATAGGAAATCCTCTGTATAGTTTATGGTGTTTGTAAAAAGCAGAAATATTACATTCTTATAAGATAAGAAGGTTTATGTATAAAGTGCACCCACCTAGTCCTTTTAAACTTAATGTACTTATTGCAAGAACTGTTCCATGACTCAATTTAACCTTTAACCTGACATGTATTAGAGCTTGATTTCAGGTTGAGAGACGTGTAGGATTAGAGCCAGATTTAGTTAAGTTGGACTGGATTCCCTTTGAAATCAATTGGACTTCAGCCATAACTAACTTGTCCCAATTGTTTCAATGGATCCAACTCAACAGACATTAAAGCTGCCACTTTTCTGACCATCTTGACGAACCTTGCTTTAGTATTCCTAGGATGATGATACTGATTCATGTAACCTGTTCTATCTCATCTATAAACAGGGTTTGTTCACTGAAAAATATGAAACATTCAGATGTTGAATGTTCACATTTACCTCTTTATTACAGGAATAACCTCCTCCTAAAGAGGAACATAACCTTATACTCTTTCCACATTTAGAAAGTGTGCCATGAATTAATCCTAATGTTGTTCTGTATCTCCTTATTTCACAGTTAGTCACCTGTCTTTGAACTTTTCTCTTTTTCAGACTTCGATAGACATATTAACAAGCGTTGTAAGAAATACTAAACCTCCCCTTTCTGAGCTTTTAATCTGCCAAGCTTTTCCTGCTGTGGCTCACTGTAGCCTGCATACAGATGATCATGCTACCATGCAGGTAATGCTTTTGGAGGAAGAGAGGTGTTTGATAGGTTATATGTTGTCCATAAGCTTCTGTGTTTTAGGCAGCCACTTTATACTGAATTAACATGTTTGGATTTCTGCTGATGCCATTATTGAAAAGGTAGGTATCTTTTCCCATCTTAATATAATTTTGCATGTGTGATGCACGTCTCACACTTGAAATTTACTGTGCTTAATCCCCAATATCAGTAAAACTAGTAAGCATTACCTGCTCCTATTTTCCTTCTGATGAATTTGTTTGCTGGAGTATGTGATTGAATGGATTAAAGAGGCCCTTCAAAAGGTGAAATGTAGCTAAGGAAGACTATTCAGGGACAAGTTGCATGCTTGTTTAGGTTCAGCGAGGACTTGGCTATATATTGGGCAAACTTCACTAAACTTGATTTCCAGGGAAGCATAATTTCCATGGAAATTCAAAATAATAAGTCAAAACTCATCCTTTGGTATTTAAATTAATGTGTTACAGAAGCCTTTAAAACATGTCTATTTCTTCATGTTGCAACTCTTGGTACCATGCTTGCATTTCAAGGTAGCTCAGTATTTAATTTTTAAAATTCACAGAACTGAGTCCTTGGGAGGTTATTGATCTTATTTATAACTTCAGAACCACTTGCACGTGGTTCCTGGTTTTCCATCCAGAATCATACAGGGCCAAACTGTAGCATTTGTCTTTAGGCCACTGTTTAGATGTTTAGAGTATACACTTCCTAAGTCCAGCATATCATGCTTGTTCCCTAACCCTGTACTTAGTAGATAGGAAGAGAGCACAGTCATATGAAAATACATCTTCTGCCGTTCATTGCCTCACTCTTAAAATCCAACCATATTTTCATTTTACACTAATGCATTATGTTGAATGACTGAACTATTGGTAAGTTGAAAGGATGAGTTCTGATTGCATGTTTTGTTGTTCATTCAGAATGGTGGTGAGTGTCTCCGTGCATACATCTCAGTAGCTCTGGAACAAATTGCACAATGGCATGACGAACAAGGCCACACTGGACTATGGTATGTGATGCAGGTGGTAAGCCAGCTTCTAGATCCACGCACCTCAGAATTCACAGCTGCCTTTGTAGGCAGATTAGTTTCCACGTTGATTTCCAAAGCAGGAAGTGAATTGGGAGAGAATTTGGACCAGATTCTAAGAGCAATTCTTAGTAAAATGCAACAAGCGGAAACACTCGCTGTAATGCAGGTAAGGAGGCTAGAAACTAGAGGAAATAGTAATTGTAAGCTACTTGCTGAGAAGCCTTAGCCACATTATTTCATGTATATAGATATAATGTTATACATGCAGTTGACAGTAAAAGGCAAGCCAATTTGGTAATGGGTGCATTCACTAATATCAAACCAGAAGGTATTCTGTGTGTCAGTGGCTGCATGCTTTTGGGATCAAATTAAAAAGTGTATGCTTTGCTTCTGTAATAGAACTCTGAGTGACACATCTACTAAAATATTATATTGAGAAGCACCACATAAGGTGGCTAGGATTCTTTGTTGTTCAAGTAAGAACAACTAACGTCTCTTGTTCAACTAAGAGATTAATTTCTAACATACTAATGATGGAGACAGGTGTTTCATAACTGATCTGTTCGCTTTTTCATGTGTGAAGATCTGTGACTGATTCTGCACTTAAATGTTTATTTTATTAAGTTTTGCTGGATATTAATTTGACTTAAATTTGACAAGTGGCTGAGCTTTGAAAAATGCAAACAAAAATATCTCTGCTACTTTGTCTCTCTTGCAGTCTTTGATCATGGTATTTGCTCACTTGGTTCATTCTCAGTTGGAACCACTATTAGAATTCCTTTGCAGCCTACCTGGGCCCACCGGCAAGCCTGCTCTGGAATTTGTAATGTCAGAGTGGATGAGTCGACAACACTTGTTCTATGGTCAATATGAAGGCAAGGTCAGGTAAGATGTCCCATTATCACAGTGTATCACAATAACCAGTGCATGCAGCAATTTTGATTGCAGCTTTTATGTGGTATTTCTACACTGCATGGATCAAGAGAGAGAAAAATCCAGTAATTACAATCAGTCCAAGCTGGTAGGCACTTTGGTCTATTGAAGACAAAGAGTCCTTAGAAAACAATAATTCAAGACCTATGAAAAGTATGGCAATACTTTCTATGACTGGGTGTTAACAATTCACATTTTACAGACTCATTCCCCCCACTTTCTTCTGAAAAAACTGACAATGATAACTTCACATTTATTTTCACATTCCCCAGACTGACTAGGTCCAACCAGCCTTGCTTTTTCTTGCCATTAGAAGAATAACTATACACAGACAAATACTTAGGCCCCAGGATTCTCATGACTGAACTGGACTACAAACCCTTCCAGACCACATATAATCACCTCCACTGGATCAGGACTGGGCCCCCTACCCAGTAACTTGTAGGGAAAATCTTAGAGTAGTATTATAACACCTAAAATTATATCTGTAAAACCCTATAGGAAGAACAGGGAAGCATGTAGTAAGGATAATGTCACTCTGTATGTGAAAGAGAGCATCACGTCAGTCAATTTAAAAATTTTAAATATGGCAAACTCCATGGAACCACTGTAGGTGAAAATATTAGCCTCCAGCACTAACTTAGTACTGGCAATGTGCTATTATTCACCTGACTAAAATTCTTCAGGGAATTTTAGGATGTAGATCAAAATCAGAGAGGGATATGCACAAGGAAGTGTTGTGGTAATGTGCATCTTAAATTATGCACATTATTGTGCATATGACTGAATAAATGTATATATGTTGCAGTCTTGACAGATTGTGCTAAATGACTGTACCCAAAAACAGTTGATCATGGAATCAACCAGAGGGAAGGTGACCCTGGATTTAATCCTTTGTGGTGCTATCCAAAACCTAATGCAAGTTGTGAATATTAATGAATGAAATGAAAACAGTGGCCATAGTGCTATCAAATTTAATTTATATTTAACTGGGAATTGCTAAAGAGTCAAACTGGGCTTCAAAAGAGCAGCGTACTCCAGAATGAGAGAACTGGTAAAACAAAAATTGAAAAAGTAAAGAAGGATAAATCTCTTTAGAATGCTTAGAGGTTGCTCAAAACCACAAACTAGGATACATTTTGCAAGTCAGAAATGATAGCATGTCCCAAGAGGGTTACTGGCATGGTTATTAAGCAGTGTCAAGGAGAAAAGAAGGCTTCTTTTAGGAAATTGAGGTCTTTCCAAATGCAAGCAATAATAAGAGATTCAGAACAGCCTTTCGAGGAACATACCACTAATGACATAAAAGCTAACAATAAATAATGCTTTAAATATATCAGAAGCAAGAAACCATCATGGGAGGTGGTTGGGCCATTAAATGACAATGGAGTTAAAAGGCATATGAACAAATTGTTTTGTTTGTCTTTGCTATAGAAGACATGGGGCAGATAGTTATATTGATATTTCCTGAATTTGTATTTTCACTACTGTAAACAGTAGTGACTAGAGATAAAGTTCTCAGACATAATGAAAATTTGTTTAACCTGTGTTAAACAAATGTGTTTAACCTGTGATTTGCCTAAGCAGTGCACCCAACAAATGATTAGGTACACTGTGGGTTGTCCCCTCTTTCTTCCCCCTCAGAGCTCCCTAGGGGACTTTTCCAGACTCCATGGCAGGACTTGTCTTTTCCCACATCAACTGCAGTCTGGAAATTTTTCCCAATTTCCCATTTTACTTTTTTTTAATTGCTTTTTGTGCTGCTTGAAGCAACAACCAGTTACAGCCTCTTCTAAGTGTCCAAGCAGCACATTGGAGTGGGTATTAATGGTTGACTACTTTTAAAGAATCTGCTTTCTTTATTCTTTTTTTTTTTTTCTTGGTCATTAGTATTCCAAATGTGCAGTGCCGCCCTGTCAATGCATTGGTTGGTGTCTCTTTTCAAGGTAGTGGAAGCACCGTTCAAGGACATTAAGAAAGCAAGGCTACAAATAGGTTAAATGGCAAGCTGTAAGCAAGCCTCAGCTATTGAGTGGTATAAAAATAAGTAAATAAATCAACCCTTTCCCAGTGTGATCCTCAAGGTTTTTCCTTTTTATTTGGACCTGAAAATTTAGTGTCTCCCCACTTTTTCAATCCTTTCCTCAGGCTCTGCATGCTTAGAAGGTAGAAAAGGGTGAGCCACCCCAGTTTTGGGAGCATGGAGTTTTGGCAGCTGTGAAAATGCAGGCCAGCTTCCCAAACAGTGTATTTATTTATTTAGCAGGGACACATTTAAATATGGCATCTGTCAGAAAACAAATGATTTGTCTCCATCAAAAGCTCTGTTAAAGCTATTAAAGATATTGATTCAGTAAACTAACCAGTTGTCCTCTCAAACTAGATAAGAGATATTGAGGAAATTGTACTTGATCACTGTAAGTGAACTGAACTTACTAAGAGCCATGGGTCAGCCTTGCTAAGCATCTGAAGAGCAAGCATATCCAGGGGTGCAGTACAGTGTGGAAGCTGGGGAGGGCAGGTTGATGATGTTCATTGGGGATGGTCTAACCCACTGACATTATTCTCTCTTTCTTCTTAGCATTTATCCATGCTGGGAGAAGCAAAGAGTCCCATGTCTCTCTCATATAAAGAAAAGGAATCAGCCAGCACTGAGAGAGCAGGCTGAACAAAGGAAGTCCTTTGCTTCATGAGGTGCCCAATGGCCCTGGAAAGAACACTGTTCTTTCTGGTGCCATCAGAGTCCCTGGTTTTGTGTAGTGCTCAGTTCTGGGAAGAATGACAATTCTTGCAACTGCTGGGCAAGACCCTTGTTCTTGCATCGCCAATGCATTCTATCCCCTGCTAAGGGGAGAAAGAGTGGTGTGCAAGATGTTATCTCTGATAACAGTAAGGATTTCTTCAGAGGGCAGGGCTTGTAAATCAGGCCAAGGACCTTGGAGAAATCCTAGGAAGCTCTATAGGCTATACTGGGGAGCTCAGTAAGGTTCTGCACCCGCTGCTGACATAAGTGATGCTTTGGGTTCAGTTCTGTGTAGGCAAGTTTTGTAAATATAGAATAAGTGTGAAGATTATCTTCAAGAACATTCTTTTTAAAAATTTCAGCTCTGTAGCCCTGTGTAAACTCCTCCAATATGGTATCAACACAGATGACAAGCGACTCCAGGATATTAGAGTCAAAGGAGAAGAAATATTTAACATGGAAGAAGGAATTCGCACTCGATCAAAAGCAGCCAAAAGTAGGTTTTGAAATAGTCTCTCAAGATAATAAGCCAAATAGAAGACACTTAGAAATAGCTTTAAAGGTTTTAACATTTAATGTAATATGTATAAGTCACATCAAGATCAATGAAACTTGTCACTGGCAAATCTGTTGTCGTGCATGTACATATGGGTGGCTATCTTTCTGGTTTTCATACCAATGTATAATGATAATCCTACAGTTAACAATAGCTATAACTCTTCAATATATTTGCCAGGCTTGTTACTAAGCCTTCAAACATTCCTGACTTGCAAGAAACTTAATATTATTGAATTTTACTCATAGAGGGGCATCTTAAAAGCAGATTTTTTTTTAATGCAGGCTAGAAACACTTTTTCCTCTACCACCCTAATTGCTTGACTCTTCTGGCCCCTGCTCCCTTTACCAGATAGCAGTGCAAGAGGGAGGTCTTTTTTCGTCCTTTTCCTCTTTAATTTGTATAGGCTTGCTGCCATGTGGAGTTTATAGCTATTCTGGCCATATTTTAACATGACAGGGAATGGAAGCACTTGCATGGAAACTGATTTGATTGGTGAAGTTAGGTGCTCTGTCCCTGATTCAGCAGCCTAATCAGATTCTATACTAGTCACTGATTACTTCACTTCCTCTGCAAACAATCGCACTGGTGAAGCATAATGCTCTATCCTAGCCTATTCATGTGCCTGGACTCATCTGGGCAGACTTCCTGCTTCCAGTGGCAACTAAGTGTCTGGCTGAGGAGAGGACTAGCATTGGCAATGCTTAGTGAGCTGAACAATTGTCAGCTAATAAATACTGCTGTACTATATATCAAGTGTTACATTTTTAAGAATAGGTTCCAGTGACAATTAGTACAAAAATAATTTGCATAGAGTCATCCCAACTGTCCGGCTACTGCACATATCACAATATTATGGAATGCGCTCCCTAGAGAGGTCCGCCTGGTGCCATCATTATTATATGTTTTTTGGCGCCAGGTCAAGACCTTTTTATTCGATCGATATTTTAATATGTATTAATTTGATTTTATTGTTTGTATTTTATTGCATTTTCAGACAGCGTGGAATAGTTAATTTAGTTATTTTATTCTGATTAATGTTGTAAGCCGTCCAGAGACAGAAGTAATGGACGGTATACAAATTTTATAAATAAATAAATACACTCTACTTTTTAATCAGATATTCATCATAAAGGCAATATGGTGCATATTTAGTGTTGAAAGGCATGTTTTTTTCTGCCACTGCTGTTATTGTACCTCTTCAGTTAGTTGTGCGAGTATATTTATTGTAGCACGTTTCTAAGAGTTCTTAATATAAATGTAAATACATTTCTTTTTCTCTCCTTAGATCCTGAACGCTGGACAAACATTCCTTTGTTAGTTAAAATCTTAAAGTTGATAATAAATGAACTTTCTAATGCAATGGAAGCAAATGCTTCCCGACAAACTGCAGCAGAATGGAGTCAAGGTACTATATTGGTGTGACTTGTCACTTTTTATGCTGGCTGCCTTTCGTGCTAGCCAGCACAGATAGAAATGTCAGGTTAAGTCTGGAAAGATCCATGTTCAAATTCCCACTCATGCATGACTCTCATGTTTGGGCTAGTCATTGCCTCTTAGCCTAACCTATCTCACAGGATGGCAACACACAAACCATGCACACCACTGTAAGCTCATTGGAGGAAAAAGTACACTAGAAATAAAATTCATCTTTTGCCCACAGCACTGCATGGGTCACTTATATAGATTTTTCTGTAATTTTTCTAACTAAGATTTTTCTGAAAATACTATAGTTTAAATGTCTAGCACACGATTTGGTGGCTTAATTTTTTTTTCAAATGAGCATGTAGAAGGTTGGCAGCATGTGACTATCAGCTAGGCATTAACAAGACAACAATTCAGGGAATTGTGCTTTTTTCACAGAGTGAGGTCTGCCCTGTCTAAAGGTCACCTATATGTTCTATTTTTGATGATCTTAATATTCTACATTACTTTCCTCATTCAGTGACCAGAAATAATCCACATTATTCATTGCTCTTACTCAGATATATGCAAATTACCAATCTGAAGCTTGGCAGTAAATACTCAATTACATTTATCTCTATGTGTATGTGCTTAGTATTGGGATACAAGCATGCATTCAGATATTCCTTGCTTGACTTAAGGGTTTTTGTTCTCTTTTTTTTTTTTTTTTGGTTCATTTTTATTTTTCATTTTGGCAAGAATTGCAGCTTTCTTTGTACTGTGTTGCTTGCTTAGAAATCTACAGCTCTGAAAATTCCAGTTTGAGCAATATGGTACCCTGTTAAGTGTTGTTGTTGGGTGGTGAAAAACAAACTGAAAATTAGTTTTCATGTGTTATTTTCCCTCAATTAACAGAGGAATCCAATGATATGTGGGAAGATCAAGAAGATGAGGAGGAGGAAGAGGAGGAAGGGTTAACAGGCCAGCTATTGTCAGATCTTCTTGCCACAAACAAGTATGGTGAGTTAATGGGAACCTAAGTCTTAGTAAAAAAAAGATCCAACTAACTGCTAGGCAAGGAGATGGGTTTTCAATGTCATACATGTTGGTAAGTAAAATAAAATGTTATCCTTTGGAATCAAAGTCAAACAATGCAGATAAGAGAGCGGGAAGTGCTTGCTTTGTTCCAGACAGTGGGAAATCATTATATGCATCATGGTTTTAAACTAGTTCCAGATAATACATTGTATGCTGAAAAACAAGATTATTCTCTTTTCCCCGTCACATGAAAAGTATTGAAGCAAGATAACAGGAAGTTTTCATTTGAAGTCTGAATTATGTTTCAAGAATGTAGACTACCTTGGTTTTGCTACAAATTCCTTAAATACAACCCTGTTTAAGCAGTTCCATTATGTTCTTAAGACCAGTTTCTGTATTCATTGGAACTATTTCGAAAGACATCTGGGTCTTAAATTTCTTTAACTTTGTATAAGTAGTTGCCTTGTGCTTCATTTTGCTCATGGTTTATTTAACAGATGAAGATTATTATGAAGATGATGAGGAAGATGATCCAGATGCACTGAAGGATCCTCTGTATCAAATAGACCTACAGGTAGTTTTTATTACAGTTGCCTTTTGTCTTTTAAAAAAAACTGACTTTGATATCTAGAATGATACTGATGTCATTCTCATCTGTTTTAAGGGTATGTGTTCAGGTAGCATTTGGAATAATTAGCAGCAACATGGATAAATTCTAAGAATATTTTCAGCACTTAGAATGATGTCCAGTAGATAAAGACATTGACAGAAAAATAATCTGTATTTCTCTTTTTCATCAAACAGTGGTATGTTGTTGTTCTTTACAGAGTGAAATAGATAAAAATTTGGAGATACATTTTTGTGCATTAAAATGATTGGCTTGGGAAAGGTTCCCACTTCTCTGTATTTCTCCCTTTTCAAAACTGTTTCGCCCTTAAAGAAAAGACTACTGTATGGAGAACTTGTATCTTGTACCTAGTCTCATAAAATTGTTCAAATTCATGGAGGATATATGTTCTGAAAGAAAATAGAAGAAACATTTCTGGATGACAAGACTTGATAGCAAGGGAACTACAGTGCTAACTTTTATTTATAAGAAACTTAATCCAGTTGATTAAAACTAAAGTTAGAGTTAGAAGAAACTTGCACACAAACTGATCATAGGGGTTAAAATGCAGTTCTAAGAAATCTGTATCATGTATTTAAAATAAATAGTATCATTGCTTTTCGCCAAATGCAGCTTCCATTACAACATGGGGTTCAATCTGCCCAACTCAAAGCATGTTTGATCACCTAAACCTGGAAGTAGGAGCAGTCATGTTTGGAATATTGTCCACTATGGTGGTTCCAGTCTTCTCTTGGCAAGTTTGCCTCTAGTTTAGGTGCCAGGAAAGCGTGACAGTTTCTGGTTTCCAAATTGAAACATCCATATATCCATACTGCTTCTTTAAGACTTGCTGAATTACAGATAGTATGGTTTATGTAGTTCTGCGCCATGGTAGTATATCCAGATGCATTATAACATCATAGCTTCATTTGACTGAGAAGCTTTAGGGGCAGCAACTCTCCCCTGATACCTTGCAGTTTCTCTGAACTGTTGAGATCTCTGGGAATGTATGCAGGTTCACCTATGCATTTACTTGGGATTGTTTAAAGCCTACACTGGATGAACAAGCAACAGTGGAATAGAGAACTTCCTTCTCAAATACACCTACTGCAGTGGAAGGCTGCACTGTCAGCTGTAAAGGCTTCCTGTTTGGATCTTAAACTCAGGTTAATCCAGTAAAAACAATATTTTGCATGCTAGCTCACTACTGCACGCTAGGCCTGATGTCCTCAGACCTGGTCCACACATAATGACAACTCTTGAGTATGAATTCTGTGTTGCTGTCAAATTGTGAGTGGTCATCATGTGAGAAGTCAGTAGTATAGTTTATGGGAGGTAAACCATGAACCATAGAGTAGGGTTTCCATATTGTACCCACAGTTCAATGACAACACATATTCTGGGCTGAAATTATGTATGAATCAGGCCAATATTTGTACATTAATATCCAGTTACCATGCAGAATTGTGGGGCCATTTTTCATCCAACGTCTTGAGATTTTAATCTGAATGTCTTAAGTAGCTCCCTGGTTTATATATCAAACTAAACCACAGTGGGTTGTCATTGTAGGTGATTACAGGAGGGCTTTGACTTGGTTCAAACAACACAATAACCAGCACAGACTAGGTTTGCATAACACAGTAACCCATCTAGCCATGATGCTGATGAAGATTAATTTCATTCTGATGCTGCCCAATAGCTGAAGCTTTCTAAGTGGTTTAGAATGTCATCTGAATCCAGTGCACCTGAAGCCAGGATGGCTTATATTCCAGCAGCAGATCACCATGTTTATTCCAGGAATTTGAGCCACAGTCAGTTGTCTTGTCATCCAAACAGAGAGCAATTTTACTGTGGGTTGCTAGCAATCCACTCAGTAAAAACAGCAAAAATTCTTGCCACTCTTCACAATCTCATTCTTGCCAGTGACAGCCCATCCACCAACCCCAAATGGCACTTCAGGGCAGTTGTCACTGTTTGTTTTTTTTAACTTTGGCCACTGAAAATTGCACAAATGTCTTAATACTTTTTTTTCTTTTGCAAGTGCACTTTAGCCTTGAATAATCACTTTTCTAGTAGGTTTCAGCTGTGAAGGGGAGCAACACAGTAGAGTAGCGAACATACATAAAAACCTGACAAAGTGAGAGTGCAGTAATCTGCATATAGTTACCAGAGTCCAATTGCTGAACTGTCAGTGGAAAAGCACCAGTGAAGGGGGGAAAGCAGCCAAAGAAGGTGTACCAAAGGGCATGGGAAAACAATATTTCCCACTTAGCAATTTAATCCTCTTGATTTTAAGTGTTGCACTGCCATTTTCTTCAACCATTTCAACACAACCCTTGTGTTTCCAGCTGGTCCAGAAATAGGAGATATCGGCTCCTCCCCCATTTTGTGGCTTCTTTTCAGAGCACATGCTCCTGCTGTGCCTTGTGCAAATGTAACACTTTTTTATTCTTGGGGAGATTTCTGCAAATTTAATTTTACTTAACTGCACTAAAATAGAATAGCTATTGCAGTTTAACACATTTGCACAAATCTCCTTGAAGGCGAAAAAAGTAACATGTGCGGATCTCCCAAAAATTGAAAAAGAATAATGTGAATTTGTACAAATTTACCCCAAAGTGAAAGAAATATTTTTTAAAACCTTCTGCTTCATTAACAAACAGAAATACACTAATTAGTGAAATAGGTTGCTACTGTTGTGCTGCAAAGACACATGAGATACATGCTGAGAGCAGGTGGGTGGGAGTACTAAGGAAGAAACAAGCCATTTGTTGATCATTTGTTGGGAGTAACATGGGTTAACAGTCAAACAGCTAACCCACCATAGTTTATTATCAAGGTTGCTTATTGTGATGTGCTAACTCACCCATTGTGATCATCTTCTTGCATTAATATTTTGTTCTTTCATATTGTAGAATCTTTATAATTATAGTATCCAGTGGATGTGAAATGAACAATCTTTGTCTTCTTTTTAGGCTTACCTTACAGACTTCTTATGTCAGTTTGCACAGCAGCCCTGCTATGCAGTGTTCTCAGACCATCTCAATGAGAATGAAAGAAGAGTTCTTCAGACCATTGGCATATAAATCCAGAGCATTATTATCATATCTGGACAGTATTTTTCTGGTCTGTTTCGTGTTTTGTGAAAAACATGAAATGCCTTCCATTATTCACAAGATACTACAAATGTGATTATCTTAATTTTGAAGTACTGTTCCTTATCTCAACATGATGTAGGGTTAAAATATTATCGAGAAGGCAAGAAAAGGCCCATTATTAATAGATCTTTGCATACTGGATTCACATAATGGGAACACTGTTCTTCAGATCATCTTTCCAGGTGATTATTAAAATAAGGTGCCCTAAAGTCAGTTTTCATCCTATGAAAAGGCACTTCACTGACTTTTTCACAGCAGAGCTTAATGGAATGAGGAAGACATCGTGGTTTGTAGTTTGTGTGGATGTGTATAGAAATTGGGAAGTTTGTCCCACTTCGCACTTGTGTCACACAGGGTAAATTATCTTGACCTTCCCATATAACATCTTTTTATAGAGACTTGAATGAATTGAAATCTACTTAGAAGAATTTGGATTATAACTGAAAAATAAAATTAAGTTAAATCTTTTTCCATTTGTAGATGGAGGTAAATAGCTTCCATCTGGACTGTCATTTTCATAATCCTTTACTAAACCTATCATGCACGCATACTGAGCAGACCTGTTACATAAAAACTCAGTTCCTGTGGTTACTGATGACTTTGGTTTTGCAACCAAACATTTTTATATGAAATATTGATTGTATTTAACTTGACTATTTACTTCATGACTACAGTTCTCAAAAGCTTTTTGCTTTTTTCACACACAATAATTATACAAAATGGCTAAGCTGTAGTTCACAAATTAGTATGTGTATTTTTATAGGGCAGTAAAATTAACATTTACTAGCTTATTTGCAAGTAAGTGCAACGATGCATCTCACAACACCTCTTTGCCTTTTTCTCCCTTTTTGGGAAAATTGAATAAAGCTGTTAAAACTTACACTGGTATCTTTATTTTTAAAAGATTCAGAGAAAAAAAAATCATTTGGTCACATGAAGAACAAATCCTCCTTTAATTGCTACTGAGGGACTAAAACTTTCTCTAACAGTCACATCTGAATTGAAGAGTGCATCAACAACTCTTGATTTGTTCTCTGTTTTGGACAGCTATTTCTCTTCCTTGCATAATGTGTTGTACTACATTAATTTGTCTACGTTGGCTTCACATTGTTTAAAGTGTGGAAGTAAATTTTCTAAGTATTATATTGTATTTAAATAGTATTTTATGGAGCTTGCATGGCTGAATCTGAGTAGTGCCTTTGGTACAGGTTATGCCTGTTTTGTCTTCCACCAAACTGAGGCAATTATTCCATTCATTTATTTATTGCAGAAGGCATTGGGGGTGGGGGGTATAAGATTTCAGATAGTCTGTTTCAATGGTGTCTAGCAATTATATGATGTCTTACAAAACCACATATGCAGACTTAAAGGCCTCTTAACCCATCGATGTTTGAAAAGTACAAGGAGGAAACTGTACATGCGTTGCAACTGAAGTCAGCTTGGCTGAGATACCCAGTTTGCACAAGGCATGGGTTTTTTGTGGGGAGGGGGGTTGTTTGTTTTGGTAAGCATGCAGGAGTGAGCAGACATGTTTGTTCCCATGTGCTCAATCTTCTGTTTCCTGGGTTGTTAATGCATCCAAATGTAGAAACCCTAGGCTGCTTAGGTATTAAATAACGTAAGAGTGGATGCATGGTTTGTTGCTAGGATAACTCTTCATTGTTTAACACCTATCCACCTCAGTATTTCCAGGTTCTGGTGTGTAATGATAGTTCAGGAAGGGGGCATTCCTGGAATGTTTAGGGAAGCAGCAAGTGTTTAGGAGTCAGTGTACCTGCTTGCTGCTGCATGACCACAACCAACCATGGATTAGTCATTGCAAGTATGATTACTGTAAGTTCTGAAAACTGCTTTGCATCTATCATGCTTTATTCAGAGTGCTGAGCCATGTTAATGGCTGGCACTCTATGAATTGTTATGTCACAAAGGAAGTTGATGATTTTAATACTTTTTAGTCCAGTGACTGGTCATCACTTCAGCCCTGAATTCTGAAAAGTTGGACTGCGTGTTTATAGAACAATATCAGGGAGAAAGAACAGTAGAAGCACAACATAGAAAATCAGAATAGAAAAGTACAAGAGCCAGACTTAATTTGTGTGCTGTTTGTATGACAGAGCCTATGCATTGAAGGACCAATGTGGGATTCCCCCACCAAATAATTTAATGGAGTTAGGGAGAGTTGAGCCAAATTAATAAGTATTTACAGACTCTTTATTATATATGCAGGGCACATTTGATTTTGCATATTTGATAGTCACAAGCTTATTTTTTAAGAAAATATACATGCTTATGTTGAAACAAAAAGATTTGATATCCCTGGATGGTAATGCTTTGGGATTGCCTCATGGATCCCACCAGTTGACTTGCGTTTACCAAGTAAGCATTTTTGCCTGATTTCATAAATATAATTTCATTATCACCTTTATCTAAATACAAATCAGCAATATCTAATAGTTTTCTGTGTAGTATAAAAAGCCAACCTCACTAATCTACCAACAGTCTATACCAGTATAATTTTAAGACATCTGCCATTGTACAGCATAGTCTATTTAAATGCTTATTGCATAAAGATTTTTAATGTGAAGTGCCAAAACAATTCAGCTTGCAGAGAGCTCAGAAGAGCAGTTAGCCATGAGTGTGTCTTTGTGCTTATTATTTCCTTGTGGGCAAAGAAGGTAAACAGATAATACTGGACTGAACTAGATGAGAGACCCAATCTACTGGGTAGCATAAAATCTAGTGTAGCTTCTAACACAATAGAAATTTAGCATCATTAGGAGTCTATACATTAGAATGATTTGTGCTCAAGGTCACTTATATCCAATATATTCTTGTGAAGGTTCCCATCCTATTTGCTTACATTATTCCTACATGTTATCTGTGGTAACAAGAATCCATGTAGCTAGATGGGTTCTAGTTGAGAAGGCTTGATAGAATTTATAAATCAATTTTATTTTTAAAATAAAAATAAAATTGACATTGAAATATTTTATAGAAATTGTTGGTTGCCTGAAACCTTGGGTTACAGCCATTATTAGACCTGCTTGGAGCAGACCCACTGAAATGGATGGTAATCATATACAACCTGTTGGCATCAAGTATCTTTTTGAGAAAGACACCATCCTACTTAGCTATGATGTATTACAGCATCTAAAATTCATTTTATTTCTTTTGTACCTGCTAGGGAACTCAAAAAGAAGGCCAATTAGTAAAAAGCATAATCTGCGATACAGCCAATTTCAAACAGCGAGGACTAAACCTTTTCCACTTACATGGTCTCTGCATCTCTTCCCTCACTGTTGTTTAGGATGTCAAAGGTGCATTCATAAAAGGACTTTTTTTTTTACCTAAAAGGACTGCAAAAATCATAACTCCATCTTGTGGAGTACATTAAACTAAACTGCACACTCGGGAGTTAACTCAGGATGGCACATAAATTATTATCTAGGGCACTAGAAATTGCTTTTCCCCCTTATTCATTTAGTTCTATAGTTTAAGGTTATTATGAGAAAGAACTGTGCATATTAGAGAACAGATTTAGAGTACCTCAAATTTTTATTGCCACTTTAACTTAATGCTTGATAGTCCTACACTTATGCTGTATGTTGATGAAAGAAAATGAAAGCAACTTTCCTAATTTTTATATGAATTTATCTAAGGAGCTCTCACATAAAGAAACAAATTAGATCAGTTCAAATGCCATTTTAGAAACTGAACTATATAAATATTGCTCGTGTTTTCTGTACATATAAAACTTAATAAACTCTAAGTGTACAAACAGTCTGCTTTATTTTACATGCGAAGGCCATTCTGTGCAAAAACGTATCCACAGTTGCCTCATTCAGAAAACTTGAGTACAATTGATTTAGCCAGTCAAGGGTTTATCATAGCTATCCTGTGTATATACTAATACAACAAAGATTTTCATTAGTTACATGCATACAAGAGATAGTAAATTAACTTACCACTTTAGACTGCCAGTCTGGTGCTTTAAACAATGGTTAACATCTCTATTCAAAACTAAGTCATTTTGAGTTCAATGGGGTTTACCCTAAATGAATACATAGATTTGAAAACTACAAAATATGAAAGTTCTCAATGACAGATAAATGCATAATTAGGTAATTCATTACCTTGAGCTGGTTTGACAGCCATCACAGAGGAAATACTTGGAAGGCTTAGACACCGAAAATGGCTCAGCACTGATCCTAATAATAAAATATGGGTATGCCTTTAGTATTTAATAACCACAAAATTGTTCTGTTCATGTCTTATTTGTAACATCTGCCTGGGCATTCTTAGGACAAATTCTTCTAAATCTTGAGGCTGCCTTGACTCAAAATCCTAAAGTCTGGAATATATTGGGAGTATTGTCAAGATTTTGTTCCATCTTGCTTTCTTTCTGTTGTTAATAACCATTCCACAGATCATATATGTCCTTAGGTGCATGCATGGGTTGTGTGCATTGGTATATGGCAGGACTATATTGTATACTTTGCATCCACAGCATGCTGTCTGCCCGCTACCTTATATTCACATTCCATAAGAAGCTGCCTTGAGTTGAATCCAGCTTATACTTAGAATGTACTCTTTGAAATCAGTTGAGCTAAAATTAGTCCAAAATGACATTAAGCTTGGTTGATGTTGGACTAAAATTAGTCAACTATTTCTTTCAGCCAAAGCTGCCTGGGCAATTTACAACAAGGTGTAATTGTACCTCAGGAAACAACACAGTGTCTTGGCAAACAAGTAATACTGCAAAAGGGCCTCTCACAAAACATACAGGCATTGACACACATGCTGTAACTACTTCTGAGAAGAATTTGGTAAGCCTGTAACATCTAAGGAAAGAAAAAGAACGCCTCACTACCAGTGACAACTTGCATGAAGCACACACACTTTGCAAAATGTAGGGTACTTTTTATAATCTTACTTCAGGGTCTTTCCAGACACCAAAAGTTTGCCTCAGAGGCCCAGATAGTCCTGGAAACTGCAATGAGCATGGTAGATGACCTAATGAACGGCTTTTGACTACATCAGGCACTAGGTAGTAGTACCTTTAGTAAACTAGGCTACATGACAATGACATTAAGCCTGAATTGACTAAACCCTTTGCTTGAGCTTCCCAGGTCATGTCATTCCTTTATTAACAACCTGGAGTCTTTGATTCAATTCATGTAAGACTGAGTCTGTGACCTGCTGTGGACTTGGCATCTCAGATAAAATTAAAGGCTGTTTATTGGAACCTCTAGAGCAAATGGAATTTTGCTATTTAATTAAGGACTAAACAACACACTATGGCTGAGCCCCTCTCATGTTTTCCAATGAGCAACAATGGCTGGTGGGGTGGTGTATCTGCTCTATGTTTCAGACTGCTTAACCTCTTTTGGGGATAGTGTCAGTTAAGAGGGCTAGATTCTTAAAATTCAGAATGAAATCCGGAAGAGACACTTCCCCACTGACACTGAAGTCACCAACCTCCTATTGCTAAAGAAATGTGAAGTCCGGATCTGGACTGGGACATGTGTGCATAAGAGAAGTTTAACCCTTCCCACTCAGCTGCCCCCACCTGTGATGGTTAAGAGATCTGCTGGGTGAGAAATAGGTAAGCCAAATTGGAACTGCATGTACTTATTTGGAAGTTTAAAAAAGGTTAGGCTCATCTGCACGATACATATTTAAATTAACGTGAAGTTTAAGCTCTTAAATGCTTTATTTTTTGTTATATTTCCACTGAAGTGCCTCTTACTTTATACCAGTATAAAATAAGCATCTCAGGTCCATTGTGGTGGGCTAGAAAGGTCGTCAATGTGATCCAAGAAGACTGCTAAGAGTACTTCCTACTTAAAAATTTTGTGCTGTCATGGTCTCCTCTTTGAG